GTTAAATTTCTTTGCAGCACAGTTGAAGCATCTATGTAGAACTGAAGCATCAAGAGAAGCTCATGCGTCCTCACTTTATTGCGCTTTACATAGCTTGTATGCGTCCATGCAGCCATGATATGATATATTTTAAAGCATTTGTTTAACCTATAATCTTCTTATTCATTAAAGCTGGCCCATAAGTTGTGTCTTATGTAGCACTACAATTGAAGCGTAATCTGCATGGTGGTCTGAAACAATGCTTTTGACAATCTCAAAACGACCCAGCTCTATACACGACCATCCGTGCATCAGTGATAAGCACCATTATGTGTTTGTACATATCAGTTGTGCTCTCATACTTAATTATTTTTCTGACCACTTCCTCTGCCCCTACCTCGTTTCTGTCGTGAAGCTGTGGCAAGTTGTGTATAGCTGTATTTATATTGTAGGAGCACATACTATCAATAAAAAATTATTTTTAGGCTACATGCAATTAGTTTTCATAGATTTTCATTTCTTTTGTCGGTGCTCAGGAGAGCTAAGCTCATGGCCGATATTTTAAAATGACATTTCTCTTTGCCAATGTTAATGAGAACAGTTTCATTAATATTGACAAGTTCATTCACATTGAATTTAGTTCTCATTATTATTGTTTCTACCAAAAACGAGCCCTTGAAGTTATGCTTTTTTTGCTTGATTTGTTTTCGTGTGACAGCATGCAAGTAAAATGACAGTTATTGTCATTCCTTGTGAATGACACATTTTCCGTGTGACAGACTTTAGCACCTGGTCATCTGCAGAAGTGTTATTCATTCTGGAAAAGGGCGAACAGCGGTGACTGACAACACAGACTAGGCTGCGTTATTCTTTTGTACTATATATGTCACTGTGCATTCATTTATAACTTTATAGAGCTCGGATTTCCTGCTTAAAATGTGACAACAACTGTAGAGTTTCCACATTTTTGCAACAATCCACATGCCTTTCATACACTATTGCACATTTTCGTAAGCACCTTACAAAATCTGTATATTTCCGTAAGACCTTACATTCTGCATTTTCCTTATGAAAGCTTCTGTACACTCCATACACTTTCCTTATCCTTCCATCATGAACTCTCCGTATGCTCCATAAGTTTCCTTATCTTTCCTTATCCTTCCATATACTCCATAAAAAGCTTTCCATATATGCCATACATTTTCCTTATCTTTCCGTATACTCCATAAAAAGCTTTCCGTATACGCCATACAATTTCCTTATCCTTCCTTATACTCCATAAGAAGCTTTCCGTAAATGCCATACAACTTCCGTATATTTCCATAAAACTCCATATTTTTTCCGTATGTAGCATAAGGAAATGTTACGGAGTCCATATATTTTCCGTAAGATTTCATACGGAACGTTTCAGTAGGGATGCTGCCTCGGCGCCTTCCTCCTTTTCGGTATAGCACAGAATTTGATGCCCCAGAAGAAATAGAATGGTCGATGCTTTATTCAAATGGCATGCCTGGTATGGCTATGGGTCTTTACACGCCTGACGGCGCGCAGTTCCCCTGTGGGGCCTTGTTGTACACGCCTTCCATTTCGGCAACAGTTTGCTGCAGTGCCATCATGGCCTCGTGGCGCTTTTCGGGCGAAAACTGTTTTAGTGTTGGAACTAATATAAGGCAAAACAGCACATCTTCGTCCTGACGGCGTAGCTGGGTCGCACCCACCAGTGGTGCAGCATGTCTTTTGGTGGCCACAGCATGATAGCCAGGAGTAGCATTTTTGAAGGCCCTGGGGTTCACGATGGGCGCAGAGTCGGGCATCGCCAGCTGGCGAGGCCCGGTTGCGGCCTCAGGCACTTCATCGGCTAGGTCTTCAAACATAGGCTCCTGTTTCACCTTTGGTTTCTACATTATGCTTGAAACATCCTTGATGGTAGCGGGCTCGAACACTCCATCGGCCATGTCTTCATAAATGGGCTCCTGTTTGACCTTTGGTTTCTTCATTATGCTTGAAACGTCCCTGATGGTAGCGGGCTTGAACACTTCATTGGTCATGTCTTCTTTACATGGGCTCCTCTTTCACCTTGACCTTCTCCATTATCATTGAAACGCCCTTGTTGGTAGTAGGCTCTAGCACCACATCAACCATGTCTTCGTACATTGGCTCCTCTTTCACCTTGGTCTTCTCTATTATCCTTGAAACGTCCCTGATGGGAGAAGATACATAGGGGCAGAAAATGGGTAGTCGAAACATCAGACATGATAGCTTAGCGGCTATATGTTGTGCGGATAAACCATCACAGCCAAAATATCCAAAGCCCTCTCCTGCAGCATCCATCATAAGCAAATTTTATTTTCAGGTGTTAATCGCCTACAAATGCTAATAAAACTTTCGACAACAATTTGGGGGTGATGGGTGGAAAAGCTCAACACCGCTACAACTGTTCTAAGCACACTGAAAAAGTTAAAGAACTACAGTCCTGCACGCCCTTCGTACTTAAGATACACCCGCATTGTACGACACTGCAGTGCTTTTGTACTGCAGTGTCGTCCATAAGTTGTGAGATTCATAAGTTGTGAGATCCATAAGTTGTGAGTACTGCAGTGTCGTCCATAAGTTGTGAGAAGAGGATTGGTCCAATTTTCATGGTCCCTTCTGATTTCGCACGTATGATGACCGAACCATACGCTCACATGCACACATGGTGACAAGTGCACCAAACGTGGAAATCTGTTCCGCAATCATCACGTAATATTGATGCGCTCATCGCCATCAACGCGTGTGCGTGCGCTTGAGTACAATGCGCGTGTGCGAGCCTACGCGTGCCTCGTTCCACGTTCGTTGATGCCGCGGAAACTCGGCGGTGCACTTTTTTTAGTGACCAAGTATGTCCACTGTATTACGCATTATACAAAATATCTTAGTTGACAGTTACGTGTGAATATGCCGCACGTTGACTGGACTGAAAGATTGAAGAAATCTTGCAGCGCTCTATAGGAATAAGTCCGATGTTTTCAAAGTGTAACAGCAGGTGGCACGGCCACCTCTCTGTTTAAAATTGTCATGTTCGAAGTCTGCGCTTTTCTTGGGAACCACAAAGATCGCCCACGACTAAAGAAATGGCTCAGATGTTCTCAGCCCCTTGACCTACCCGAAAACGTCGTTTCTACTAAAGGCCGATGGGCCGCAAAGAGGCTCTCTAGGTAAACGAAATTGAAATGTATATTAGGAGCAACATAGAGCTACTAGTAGGGGCATAAGGGCATCCATATGTCACTTCTTTTATACTTCTTTTATTTGCAGCATCAACCCATCCTGCTGAGGCTGCAAATACGAAATGAGCCCCACTACAATTAACTCGGCCTTTCACCGTGTTTCCCACTCAGAATATTGGCATTGTAAGAAAGGCCACGTAACAAATATCCCATAAGGCTCACAATAATATGTTTCTAGGTTCCTAACGCCCGGGTGCTAAAAGAAGCGTGAAAAGCAACACTGCAACATAAAGCGCACAACTCTACACTCTAAGCCAAATTTCGGCAAAATTGCGCTAACTGCAGTCGTGAAGGCAACGGACGAAAGGTTCGTCCAACAGGGACTAAATGCGTGACAGTGCGTGTCATGCGCAAATGCCCGGCAATGAAGGAACCAACGGGGAGGATAACTGCATTGCGATCGCCTTCGGTCGGTGCTGCACAGCAATGCTCGGCGCGGTCATGCGATCACGAAAACGAGTTATAGCACTATGAAACGAATAGAAGATGTTATGAGAGGCAAGTATAGCGCGCAGTCAGTGCACACAGCAAGGGCCCTCGTCTTTCCACCATGCCTGCACGGCGGGCCGAAACCAAGTGAAAGTTTTCGCGAACACGGGCAATGCGGATAACTCACTTGAATTTGCTCAATTAGAATTACAAAGAACGCTGACAATGCTATTAAAAGTAAGCAGTTTGTCAGTGGTCGTGTACCCGCACAGTGAGTGGCCACAGCTTCAAAGTGATATATAAAAAGTTATATATAAAAAAGAAAACGTGGCATACTATTTCTTTCGCAGAAAAATTATCTCCTGGATCAAAGCTCAGATAAACTTATGTATTTATCTCCATGCGAAAATCGTTGTCAAACATCAAACGTGAAGGCGATCGCGGATGCCACTAAGCGTGTG